GATAGATAGATAGATAGATAGATAGATAGATAGATAGATAGATAGATGACAGATAGAAAGGATAAAAAGGATAGAAAGGATAGATAGATAGATAGATAGATAGATAGATAGATAGATAGATAGATAGATAGATAGATAGATAGATAGATAGATAGATAGATAAAGAGAGAGAGAGAGAGTGGTGGGATTCAAATAATTTAACAACTGGTTCTCTGCTCTAAGGACCGGCTGGGTAGGCATGGGTGAGTGATCATGTGACTGGGTGGGTGTGGCCAACTTGACATCACTCACATCAAGGGACCCCTTGCCTGGTCTCTCCTTGCCTCAAAGGCCTCAACAAGATACAATTTCCCTGTCTATTTACTACTACTGAACATCCAAAATACATATTTGATCCTATGTATATATGCCATATGTGTACATACATATTACATAGTATAGTGTGTGTATAGGCACACAAAAAAGATACATTATCTACTACAGCTGTGTGAAAAAGTCCTGCACGCTTTATGGTTTACAGTTTATGGTTTATGACATTTTTTGGATAGGCCATTGATTTTATACTTTATGCCCACTGCTATGCAAATATTGTTATATTTAAATAAATACTGGTGGTTTTTAAGTGAAAAGCATAAGGTTTTTGCAATTTGATGCTGTTTGGATGGGGATTGTGAATTTTCTTGCATGCTTACAATGACTATGAAAACAGATTAACTGATGCATACCCAGTGGCATACGTGTTGCAATTACTAAGGCCGATGCTAGTGTTTTGTTAACATTTTTATTGTTTGTGGCCCTGAAAAGAACCGTTTAGGTAACCAAACATGGTTACTAATATGAAATTGGCCAGCCCTTATTGCTTATCACCTAAAGTCTTTCTCCATATTTTTATGTTATATTCCAGGAGATCTATCTTTGGCTCTATTGTTGTGCTTCTTTTCTTTCCACTTCCTTTGAGTTCTCTGTTTCTCTATCTTTCTTCAAAAATACCAGGAGATGTTAACGTGTGCACCATTTTTCTTTTGGCTCTGCTTTTTTTTAAGGTAGGGAAGAGGCTCAGTGGAGGTTTCCCCCCCCCCCCCGCCCCCCCCAGTTTTGAGGGCAAGGTTTTGTTACATTTCTCTTTTGAGAGAGGGAAAACAATTATTTAAGCCTCATTTTTTATTTGATGTGACTCATGCTGTCATGGAATAATTTCAGCTCCACAGCTGGAATTGTCACTTTTTTTCTGTTTTAACTTCACCCACCAGTCACTCAGGATTGAAGGGAGATGATCTACAAATAAGCCAAGAGAAACCAGATTATCTAGATCACTTTTAATAAATGATTCATCCATAAGACTATCAATTAATGTGGATTTTGGGAGATTAATAAAGAATGAAGGGTCCAGATGGATTTGGGATTATAATTTTTAATTAATTAGAAGAATCTTTCTGTTTGAAATGGTGATGGTGATTGGTATTATCAACATGAGAATGAGATCTCAAAGATTTGACACTAGAGGGAGGCAGAAGATAATAAATCCTTACATTATAATAATTATAAATTATAATAAATCCTTAATACCAATTGAGACAAATGGTTGTCCAATCTCTTCTTTAAAATCTCCAGTGTTGGAGTCCCCACAGCTTCTGAGGGCAAGCTGTTCCACTGATTAATTAATTAATTAATTAATTAATTAATTAATTAATTAATTAATTAACTGTCAGGGAATTTCTCATTAGTTCTTGGTTGCTTCTCTTCTTGATTGGTTTCCATCTATTGCTTCTTGTCCTGGCTTCAGGTCAGAGGTGGTATTCAACAGGTTCTGACCAGTTCTGGAGAACCGGTAGCAGAAATTTTGAGTAGTTTGGAGAACCGGCAAATACCACCTCTGACTGGCCCTGCCCCATCTCTTCTCTGCCTCCCGAGTTCCAGCTGATCGGCTGAGTCTTCTTTGGTTGCCCTGCACGGGAGAACAGAGCTGGAAAGCAGGATAGCGGGGTGAGGAGGGAATGGGATTTTGCAGTAACCTTCCCCTGCCACACCCACCAAGCCACGCCCACCAAGCCACACCTACAGAACCAGTAGTAAAAAGATTTGAATCCCACCACTGCTTCAGGTGCTTTGGAGAATAGATTAATCCCCTCTTCTTTGTAACAGCCCCTCATAGATTGGGACAGTGCTATCACAACACATTTCCCTAGTCCTTAAGAGAATAAGAGCCTGGGAAGGAAACTTGGAGGCCTTCTAATCCTGCTCAAGCAGAAACCCTATACCATTTCAAACAAATGGTTATCCAATTCTTCTTAAAAACTCCCAGGGATGGATGGAAGACCCCACCACCTCTGGAGGCAAGTTATTCCATTGATTAATTGTCAGGAAATTCCTCCTATTTCTAGCTTGGGTCTCTCCTTAATTAGTTTCCATCCATTGCTTCGTGTACTTCCTTCAGGGGCTTTGGAAAATAGGTTGACCCTCTCTTTCTGCAGTCAAAGGTGAGCACTGTTATCAACAGACCTGCCATTGTCTAGCACAGTGATGGGGAACCTTTTTGTTGTGGAGTGCCGAAAACGTGAATGTGTGCAATAGCACGTGCGCCCGTGCCAGCACCCACAATGCAATGCGCGCCCCCCCGTTGCACATGTGTGTGCAACACCCCCGCCCTGCCCCCTTAACTGCACTGCACATGCGCGCGCCTCTCCGTGAATGCCCTCTCAGCTGATTTTTGGCCCGTTTGAGGCCGTTTTTGCTCTCCCGGAAGCTTGAGGAAAGCCTCTGCAGCCTTAGGAGGCTGAAAAATGGGTCTTCCGGAAATACTGGAAGTGTCCGTTTTCAGCCTCTGGAGGGCCTCTGGAGCCCAGGGGACCGTTTTCACCCTCCTGGAGGCTGAAGGGAAGCCTCTGCAACCTCGGGGGGCTGAAAACGGGCCTGTTTCAGCACTTCCAGTATTTCCGGAAGGCCCGTTTTTTTGCCTCCCGTAGCTGCAAAGGCTTCCCTCCAGCCTCCAGGAGGGCAAAAACAACTTCAAATGGGCCAAAAATCAGCTAGGAGGCACGCGCATGCGCAGTGCAGGTAAGTTTCGCTGGGGCTCATGTGCCCACACAAATGGCTCTGCGTGCCACATGTGCCATAGGTTCGCCATCATGGGTCTAGAGGTTGTGTTCTGTTACTCCCCACCCTAATGCCCAGTTTATTAGTGATCTGTGTAGTATGGCAGCAGGCAAGATCTGCTGTTGTAGCTAACCGTGTAAAAAGAGTAGTCCTTCTCAGATGGAGGCAGTCTAGATCAGGGGTGTCAAACTCTATTTCATTGAGGGCCACATCAGGGTTTTGTTTCACCTCAGGGGGCTGGAGTGGGCATGGCTGGGGTGGCTGTATCCAGCTCAATGTTGCTCCTGTCAGGGGCACCTGTAGTGGCCAAAGCACTCTGCCAGAGAAAACGGGCTCCCAAGCTCTGTTTTCTGCTGCGATGGCTTCCTGCAGCCCTCTGCCAGCAAAAACAGAGCTCAGGTGGGCTGCTGTATGGCCCTCACAAGCTCCATTTTCACTGGCAGAGGCACTGCGGGCTGGTCCTTTGCTGTTTCCAGGGTGGCCCTGCAGGTCAGATCTAAATACCTGATGGGCCTGATCTTGCCTGCAGGCCTTGAGTTTTACACCCCTTGTCTAGATGCAAATCCTCTGAGAAAGATCGGTGCTCTTTTCACTCCACAACAAATAAACCTTATTATTTCCACTAGTGCTGCAATTTGTCGTACCTTGTATATCCAAATCGTTTGCCATGAGAAGCATTGCACTTGTCAGGGAGGCGGAAGTTGTGTCTGTCCCAGCAATAAAGAGGTCAGCTATGCAGTGAGCCAAATTATCCTCATTATAAGTAGAATTGGGATCATCCTTCCTCTATAGATATTAACAAGAAGGAAATGTCATTTACAGGCATTTCCCTACAGCTACCAAACGACTTCAAACTAGCCTGTTCCTGCTCATGAGCTATGTTATCTGGGGAGGCAATAGTCCACTCTATCAGGATGCCACAAGGTTGCAAAGGGTGAATATACAAAGTGGGACATGATAATTGAGTGAATGCCCTATTGCAGTGACCTCCAACATTTTGGGCACCAGGGACCAGCTTTTTCCATGGACTGGAGGGGGCATGGTTTTGCATGCTGTGCCCGCATCTTGCAGGTGGGATTTCATTTCTTTGCACAGCCTGGTTTCTGGCATGCCGAGGCCCAGTGCTGTTCCACGGACAAGGGATTGGGGACCCCTGCTCTAGAGCTGTGTTTCCCAACCTTTACAACTTCGTGGACCAGAAGCAATGGTGGTGGTGAGTAGACGGGATGGTTTCATACACACTCTGCCAACACTTCTGGGGCCAGTTCTGAATGGGCTGAGGGGGAAGAATTGAAGACTCCCTGCTCTACAACAGTGTTTCTCAACCTTGTCCCCTTACAGGTCAGGGGACTTGAATTCCCAAAATTCTCCAGTAAAGCTGGGAAAGAAGAAACACCTCTTTCCTCCATCTATTGAGAAAACCAAATGCTTAGAGTGGTGCGATATGACACATATACTCTGGAAAACGCTCCAAACCACAGAGAATCCCAGATATGGATAAAATACTGTATGATTAAGCCCCCATGAATTCAGACAGAAAAATAGACATTGGCAACAAATGGAGAATACATGGGAATGTTTACGAGAGCACTGACTTTTCCAGTCTGTCTTATCTGCATTTACTGGTAAAATACATTTCCTATTGTCGTGAAAACCCAGTTAGGGTTAGGGTTAGGCCTCCATGAATTCAGAGACCAAAATGGAGATCACCAATGAATTTGAAATGTATGGGTATGTTTAGAAGGACAGTGACTTTTCAAGTCTGGCTTATCTGCATTTACTGGTAAAATACATGGGAAAATCCCATTGGTGGGAAAACCCAGTTAGGGTTAGGGTCAGTGGTGGGATTCAGCCAGTTCGCACCAGTTTGAGAGATCAGTTTCTTTCTGAGCAGTTTGGTGAACTGGTTATTGGAAGAAATCACTAGGGCAGAGAACCGGTTGTTAAATTATTTGAATCCCACCATTGGTTAGGGTTAGGTCTCCATGAATTTGGAGAGTAAAATGGAGATCGACAATGAATGTGGACCGCATGGGTATGTTTAGGAGGGCAGTGACTTTTCCAGTCTGGCTTATTTGTATTTACTGCTAAAATACATGGAAAAATCCCATTGGTGGGAAACCCACTTCGGGTTAGGTCTCCATGAATTGGGAGAGCAAAATGGAGATCGGCAAGGAATTTAGCGCGCATGTGTATGTTTTGGAGGGCACGCTGACTTTTCAAGTCTGCCTTATCTGCATTTAGTGGTAAAATGCATGGAAAAATCCCATTGGTGGGAAAACCCAGTTAGGGTTAGGCCTCCATGAATTGGGAGAGCAAAATGGATATCACCACCGAATTTGGAATGCATGGGTATGTTTAGGAGGGCAGTGACTTTTCCAGTCTGGCTTATCTGCATTTACTGGTAAAATACATGAAAAAATCCCATTGGTGGGAAACCCACTTAGGGTTAGGGTTAGGCTATGAATTCAGAGAGCAAAATGGAGATCACCAATGAATTCAGAGCGCATGGGTATGTTTGGGAGGCCAGTGACTTTTCAAGTCTGGCTTATATGCATTTACTGGTAAAATACATGGGAAAATCTCATTAGCGGGAAAACCCATTCATTGGCGATATCCAGGAGTGGGCTGCTATGGTTTTGAACAGATTCGGGCGATCCTCTAGTTACGAGTCTGCGTGGTTTGGCGAACCACTAAATCCCACCCCTGGCTGGCCCTCTCAGCCACTCCTTATCTTACCTTGGCTGCGCCTACTCACCTAATACTTACTTTCGGATAGTTGGAAGATGCGGGCGTGGCACACCCGTGTCTCCCAACTATCCAAAAGTAAGTATTAGGGCAACTCCACCACCCTCATCCCCACCCAAGCTTAATTTTTACCTGTACACCCTGGATTGGGTGGGGTCTTCATCAGGGCTTATTTTGGGGGAGGGATAGGGCTTCTACTGGGCACATGTGTAAAAATCAAACTAGGACTTACTTTCTGAGTAGGTAGTATTTTGGGGGAAACACAGTATTTTTTTTCTTTTTATTTCTTTTGTCTTTTTATGTCTTTGTAAGCTGTGTTGAGTCGCCGTATGTGAGTAGGCAACAATATAAATTTTCTAAATAAATAAGTAAATTGTTATCAAGGGCTACCTGTAATGATCCTACAGAAGATACGCTCTATAATGAGTAGGAGCGGTGTGCCAAGGCTTACTTTCTCCATTTGAAATAGATAAAAATCAATGAAATCCTGTGGTTCATGCAAATTCCTGTTCTCCTTATGCAGTATAATTTCCTTCCTGGCAAACGAAACTATCGTCTCCAGAGCAGATAGGGCAGTCTGGTGAGGGCCTGGCAGATGCTTCATGATATGTGGGAAACCCTCATAGAGCTAGAAAAGAGAAAGAGAGAGAGAAAATGTCTGTGGAGATTCTCAGTTGTCCATGCCATGCTTGTCCCAAGGATGCTTTTGTCAAGAGGCAACTGGACTTTCTTAGTTTTTCTTTTGAAGACGTTTCGCTTTTCATCCAAGAAGCTTCTTCAGCAGTGACTGGATGGTGGGGAATGGAAGGATTTATACTCCTTGCAGACAGCTGGTCATTTGCATCCTTTTAGAAGGTCGTTGAGGCCACTTGGAAGTTTATCTGTGTCCTCAGGGTCACCTGAGTGGTGATAATGGTGGCTGTAGTCTGCAATTTTTCCTCTGGCAATCCATTCCTACTCCCACACCATTCCAAGGGTGTCCATCCCAAATTGTATAGCTAAAAGTCTGCAGAGATGCTCAGTCATCCAGGTCATGATTGTCCCAAAGGTGTGTTGTTGTTTTTTTTCAGGAGGCAACTTAGGTGATCCTGAGGACACAGATAAACCTCCAAGTGGCCTCAACGACACTCTAAAAAGGATGCAAATAACCCGCTGTCTGCAAGGGGTATAAATCCTTCCATTCCTCACTATCCATTTTTTTTTCTTTTTAAGACATTTCACTTTTCATCCAAGAAACTTCTTCAGCTCTGACTGGATGGTGGGGAATGGAAGGATTTATACTCCTTGCAGACAGCTAGCCGCTCTTTTGAAGACAGGAAAGTCCACAATTTGGACAGAGCGGACCTCTGGTTTGAAAGAGGGGTCCAAGAAATGCTATAGGGTTTCCTGCCTAAGCAGGGGGTTGGACTAGAAGACCTCCAAGGTCCCTTCCAACTATTCTACTCTACTCTACTCTATTCTATTCCAGAGGTGGCATTCAGCAGATTTTGACCAGTTCTGGAGAACCGGTAGCGGAAATTTTGAGTAGTTTGGAGAACCAGGAAATACCAGCTCTGCCTGGAGATTTTACAAGATCCTTCCCCTGCCATGCCCACCAAGCCATGCCCACAGAACTGGTAGTAAAAAAAAAAAATCGAATCCCACCACTGTTCTATTCTATTCTATTTTGAGGCCATCTATATCAAAACTGAACAGCCCTCTCTCAATAGAGAGGAAGGGATACGACATCATCTATCTCCAATAGTACAACACAGTCCTTTCCACAGTTCCAAGAAGGCTCCACAGCCATTTGAACCACTTAGGTGATCCTGAGGACACAGATAAACCTCCAAGTGGCCTCAACGACACTCTAAAAAGGATGCAAATAACCCGCTGTCTGCAAGGGGTATAAATCCTTCCATTCCCCACCATCCAATCAGAGCAAAAGAAACTTCTTGGATGAGAAGCAAAATGTGTTCAAAGAAAAAAAAACAAGGAAGTGCAGAGAAAGCACCTTTGGGACAAGAGAAAGAGAGAATCCAAGTTTCAATAACAAAAAAGGGTTGACAATTGAACCATGAACCAGCTTCTATGAATTATCAGAGCAAGCTCACCAGATGACCAGCAAAATTAGAACTAAAGTCGATGGAGGCAATCCACAAGAGATGCCTAAATGTAGTTCTCAACTTACAACCATACATTTAGTGACTGTTCGAGGTTACAGCGGCACTGAAAAAAGTGGTTGTTTTTCACTCTTACGACTGTTGCAGCATCCCCAGGGTCACGTAATCAAAATTCGGACACTGGGCAACTGGTATGTATAAGTCAAGGATGACAACAGGCAGGATCTCCAAATCTCCAAATCTCCAATTAAGTTTGTATGCATCTCTCTTTCTGTCTCTCTCTTTCTGTTACTCTGTCTCTGTCTCTCTCTCTTTCTGTCTCTCTCTTTCTGTCTCTCTCTTTCTGTCACTCTGTCTCTGTCTCTCTCTCTTTCTCTCTCTTTCTGTCACTCTGTCTCTCTCTCTCTCTTTCTGTCTCTCTCTTTCTGTCACTCTGTCTCTGTCTCTCTGTCTCTTTCTGTCTCTCTCTTTCTGTCACTCTGTCTCTCTGTCTTTCTTTCTCTCTCTATCTGTCACTCTCTCTCTCTCTTTCTTTCTCTCTCTTTCTGTCACTCTGTCTCTCTGTCGCTCTTTCTGTCTCTCTCTCTTTCTGTCACTCTGTCTCTGTCTCTCTCTCTCTTTGTCTCTCTCTTTCTGTCACTCTGTCTCTGTCTCTCTCTGTGTGTCTCTCTCTGTCACTCTGTCTCTTTCTCTCTCTCTCTTTCTCTCTTCTCTTTCTGTCACTCTGTCTCTGTCTCTGTCTCTCTCTTTCTGTCACTCTGTCACTCTCTCTCTCTCTTTCTGTCTCTCTTTCTGTCACTCTGTCTCTGTCTCTCTGCCTTTCTGTCTCTCTGTCTCTGTCTCTCTGTGTGTGTGTGTGTTTGTGTGTGTGTGTACAGGTAGTCCTCGATTTATGACCACAACTGAGCCCAGTATTTATGTTGGTAAGTGAGAAATTTATTAAATGAGTTTTCCCCTATTTTATGACTTTTCTTGCCACATTTGTTAAGTGAATCACTGCAGTTGTAAATTAGTAACACATTTGTTAAATGAATCTCATTTCTCCATTCATTTTTCCTGTCAGACAGTTGCAAAAGGTGATCACATGACCCCAGGCCCCTGCAAACGTCATAAATGTGAGTCAGTTGTCAAACATCCAAGTATAAATCATGTGACCATGGGGATGCTGCAATAGTCATAAATATGAAAAATGGTTATGAGTCACTTTTTTCAGTGCTGTTGTAACTTTGAACAGTCACTGTTGTAAGTCGATGACTACCTGTATTCTATTTTTAAAGCCACCAACTCACCAATGATAATGGGCAGAAAATTCCATGGTCACCTTTCTGTCTTTTGGCTCATGTTTGATTCCAAAATGGCTACCTTCAAGCTTAAGGATCAACTTATTTCAAAGGGTACAATATTACTGTTGTATTATATCATTCAAGAACGGCCAATATTTAAGTGAGATGGGTTTCTTTTAAACACCATCAGTCCATTGTTCTAGAAAATCTGAAATTAAGTAACTCAGATTGGGTAGGAGAAGGAAAAACAAAGGTACAACAACTTACTACGTAGAAGATACTGCTTCCAAATTTTAAGGCGATCGAAATGGCTTTCACTAACTCCAGGAAGTCTTGATCGTTGTTGGAAAAATGATGTCCAAAAGCAATAGCACAAATCACACTGCAAACTGATCTCACGATGGGGAGGAATGGGTCAAATGGCTGTCCTGAAAATAGAAGAATTTGTATTTATATTCACATTAATACTTCCTTTCCCAGTTATATCAAAACTTGGATGCCTGGTAGATCTTGTTAGAAATAAGTTGTCCCCACGTCAAGTTAGCTGGTACAACTTGTTCCATCCTGACCCAACCATCCCGAGTCAGCCACACCCAGTGAGCGACGTTGAATCAGCCACACCCACTATACCACACCCACCATGCCACACCCACCCAACCACGCCCACCTGGCTGTTGTGAATTGCCATAGTTTTACATGCAACTGACCCTTTGAGGGCAACCAAAATGTTGATGCAGCACACAATAAAATTGAGTTTGATACTCCTGGTAAAGGGTCTCCTCCTTGAGCAGGGGGTTGGACTAGAAGACCTCCAAGGTCCCTTCCAACTCTCTTACTCTGTTATTCTGTCTGCACCATTATATTCAAGCCGACATCATCTCAGATTGTCACATACCCTTTGTCTCAGCAAAGAATTCCACAAGTTGTTGGGCCTCCTCTTCGATTTGCGATTCCATGCCTTTATTCCCCAGTCCCAACTTCCTCATGGTGACAACACCAAACTGTCTTTGCTGCTCCCAGGTGTGACCATTTGAAAAGACAATACCTGACATCACCAAGACAGATAGAAACATTAGTGTTCACAAAAATGTAAAATTAATCAGATTGATAGCCTTCAAAATGTATCTCGGTACTCAACTGCTTAGAAACTCATCAAATTTGCTACTCAATGAATTTTGACATGAACATATTCCTTGTTTGTTTGGTACTCAATGCATAAGCTAGCATTTGTTGGTGTTGGCTGCCTTGTGACTCCCTACCTTATCCCTTAGGGGAGAAAATTGTTTGGTACTCATTGCATCTCCTGGAACCAATTCATGATGAGAACCCAGGTATCACTGTATATGCAACTTAACCTCCTGTGTTGAATAATCCAACCTCTTTTATCCATCTTTTTACATCAAATAGTAGTTTGTGTCTCATTCGTCAAGAGTCAAGAATCATCAGGTACAACACTTAATAGTCATAGGGTACAATAAGAATAGAATAGAAATAGATTATAGAAATAGAAATATAGAAATAGAAATAGAATAGAATAGAATAGAATAGAATAGAATAGAATAGAATAGAA